CTGCCCCCCCCCATCCTCCCTCCTCCTCCTTTCTTTTCTTTTTAAGTTTTTCTTGTTTGTTTAGGTTTTGGTTTAAGACAGGGTCTTCTTGGTATGTAGGATTTTGACAATAAAGTGTTTCATTATGGATTTCTTTGAGTATATCCTTCTTGGAGTTCATTAAACTTCTTGGATGGTTAGGTTCATGTCTTTTATCTGATTTAGGAAGTTTTCAAGAAGTTTCTCTTTAAAAAGATTTTCTGTGAGGCTGGAGAGCTCAGTGGTTAAGAACACTGGCTGCTCTTGAAGAGGACCTGGGTTTGATTCCCAACACCCACATGGCAGCTGACAACTTTCCTAACTCCAATTCTAGGGGATCCGACGCCATCTTCTGACCTCCATGGGCATTGCACAACAGGGGTGCGCTTACACACATGCAAGCAATACATTCATACACATAAGATAAAAATAATAAAATATCTTCTTTAAAAAAAGATTTTCTGGGAGCTGAAGAGATGATGGTTCAACATTTAAGAGCACTGGCTCCTCTTACAGAGGATCCAGGTTCAGTTCCCAGCACCACATGATGGCTTACACCTGTCGTCAACTCCAGTTTCAGGGGATCTGACATCCTCTTCTGGCCTCCATAGGTATTGTACAACATGGTACATTTACATACATGCAGGTACCTGTCTTTTCACCTTCCAGGATTTCTAGGGTGTATATTGTGTATACTTGATAGTGTCCTACAGATGCCTCAGTCTCTCCACTTTTTTCTTACTGTTTTTTTAATGCTTTATTTTTCAAAATTACTGGCTATTCTGTGTGCTTGAATTTGTGGTTGAATCTCTGTAGTGAATTTTTTAAAATATTTTATTATTTTTTATTTTATATGTATGCGTGTATTGCCTGCATGTAGGTAAGTACACCTCTATCATGCAGTGCCTGTGGAGGACAGAAGAGGCTGTCAGATCCCCTAGAACTGGAGTTACAGACAGTTGTTAGCTGCCATGTGGGTCCTGGGAGTCGAACCTGGGTCTTCCGCAAGAACAACCAGTGTTCTTAACCACTGAGCCATCTCTCCAGCCCCTGTAGTGAATTTTTTATTGCAATTATACTGTTTTGTTATTTTTGAGAAATGGTCTCTCATAGCCCAGGCTGGTCTCAGACTTGCTATGTAGCTGAGGATTACCTTAAACTTTCTGATTTTCTTGCCCCCACCTCCTGAATGCTGGAATTGCCTGCATGTGCCACCATACTTGATTTTATACAGTGCTGTTGATTGAACTCAAGCTCTTGTGTATATTAGGCAGGCATTCTACCAAGGGAGCTACAATCCCCAGCTCCAGCTACACTCTAATCACTAATTCCTTTTGATTGTTTCTATCACTTTGCTGATATTTTTATAATATTTATTATTTTCCTGATTTACTTTTAATTTTTTTTTTTTTTAATTTTGTTTTGTAGTCTAGGCTGGTCTTAAATGATCTTGCCTCAGCCTTCCAAGTATTGAGATTATAGGCATGAGCTACCATGCCTGGCTTCCTTTAATTTTGTAACCTATGGTTTTATGAGCTAATTGAGCATGTTTGGACATGTTGTTTTAACATCTCTAGTATTTCCAGGATCTAGGCTTCTTTAGGGTTGGTTTTTGACAAGTTCTCTTTTTTTCTATGAATGGGTCACACTTTCCTATTTCTTTGTATGCTTTTTTAATTTTTGTTTTTAAGAACTAGATCTTAGAAAAATTATTATGTAGGAGCTATAAAAAATAGGTTCCCCAGCCTCTCATGGATTGCTCATCTTTGCTGTTGAGGGCTGTAGCTATCCATTTGTGTTTATTCCAAATTTTTCTTTTTGTAAAATATTCCTTGTTGTGTATGGTATCTTTCTTTCATCTTCTTTTTCCAAGCAATGACTTGACAAAGATTTTCATAAACATTTGACTCCAAAAAGGAATTGAAAAAGGTATCCCTTTTTAAATCTTCTGATAGATGATTTAGAGGAAAGCCACTGCTATCTGAGAGGGCAAAAACTGACCCAGAGCCTGAGCAGTCACAGGGATTCCCTGACTCACCAAGCATGCAGTGCCATATTTCTCAGGGACAAGGTCCCTACTGTCTGCCCTAGCACCAGCCCTCTGCCCCTGGGCTTGGGGCCACTATCTGCAGCTGGGCTGAGGAAAAGGGGGTGGTAGCTGGTTCATGACATTACTCTTCATTGAAAATTAAGTCTGTCCTTATCAAGTGCCTCCTTGTTTGTAAGAAATGCTAGGCAAGTTCTTGAGTTAAAAAGTAGGTGATTCTCATTGTTTTCCAGCTTACTGATTGTTTTTATGGCAGTACCAACCCCTAGACTTTAGTTTCCCTGGGGTGTTCAGTTAACTTAAAAAAAAAATTTTTATGAGAGTTTTGCCTGCATGTATGCAAGTGCACCACGTGCATGCAGTGCCCCGGGAGGCCAGAAAAGGGTGTCAGAGTCCCTGAAACTGGAGTTTTGGATGGTTGTTAGATACCATGTGGCTGCTAGGACTTGAACCCAGGTCCTCTGCAAGAGCAGCCAGTACTTTTAACTGCTGAGCCATTTCTCTAGTTCTCTTCCCCAAATGATATCACCACTTCAGGTGCTATGATGTTTAACAATTTTAGCAAGTGCTCCTAGGGAAAAGGTAGTTTGTGTGGGGTAAGTTGAGTCTGATCACACAGATAAGGCTTGTGAGTGAGATATCCTAGGGAACTTCCAGACCTATCAAATTATGGCAGTTTTCTAAGAGTAAGGCCTTGAAGAATCTCTTCCTTTCTACTCTATCTGGAGATTGCAGTTGACCATGGGCTAGGAAGAGGGTACCAGGACTGGGGCAGGTTAAAGTTCCACAGAGTATACTGTATTTATTGAGAGCCAGCCATTTTTTTGGTTGTCATTGTTTGAGACAAATTTTGCCATGTAGCCCAGACTAGCTCTGAACCTCAGCCTCCTAAGTGGTAGGATTATAGATATAGGCTACTTTCCCTAGTCTCAGCTATTTTTCCTGAATAAATACTCCCTAGATGGATGCAAACCTTTAGCAGAACATGAACAGGCTAATTTTCCACTTTTGCTAGTGCTCTTGCTCCTTTTATGGAGGAGGGTTTTTTTGGAGGTTTTTAGTCCCACCATATTTTTTGTCATCACTCCTCTTTGTAGCCTTTTTTTTTTTTTTTAATTTTATGTGTATGCGTGTATTGCCTGCATGCAGATCAGTGCACCCGTGTTGTGCAATGCCTGTGGAGGTCAGAAGAGGCTGTTGGATCCCCTGGGACTGGAATTACAGACAGTTGTTAGTGGCCATGTGGGTGCTGGGATTCGAACCTGGGTCTTCTGCAAGAACAACTGAGCCATCTCTCCAGCCTGAGCCTTTCTTTTTTTAAAAAATATTTTATTTATGGCAGGCCGAGCCCAACGGGCAGGACTCCTGGGTTGGTGTGCAGTAAAAATAAAAAATAAAAAAATAGTATTTTATTTATTATTTTTATGAGTATGAATGTAATGCCTGCATGTGTGTAAGTGCACAATGTCGTGCAGTGCCACCAAGGTCAGGAGAGGGCGTTTAATTCTCTGGAACTGGAGTTACTGACAGTTGTTAGCTGCCATGTGGTTGCTGGGAATCAAATCTGGGTCCTCTACAAAAGCAGCCAGTGCTCTTAACTGCTCAGCCATCTCTCCAGCCCCAGCCTTTCTTTTTAAATTTAAAAATTTTTGTTAAACTGAGCTGTTATACATAAACCTATTTTCATACAAGTATATAATGTACTTGGAACATATCTCTCCTCCAGACCCTGCTCATTTTTAACTTTAAGCCAGTCCTCTTAAAGAATAGATTGGCCATCTACTCTTCTTTATTTTTATTTTATGTGTATGAGTATATTGCCTGTATATGTGTAAGTGCACCCTTATGCAATCCTGCAGAGGTCAGAAGATGACATCAGATTCCCTTGGAACTGGAGTTACAGACAGTTGTTAGCCACCATGTGGGTATTGGGAATTGAACTTGGGTCCTCTGCAAGAGCAGCCAGTGCTCTTAACCACTGAGCAATCTCTCTAGCCCCTGCTATCTACTCTTCTAAGAAATGTGCCAGCTAGATTTATCTTGCTGATTAACAGTTACTTGGCTTGTCATCACTTTTACATATTTCATTTCATAAAGAGAACCACTAACTGGGTGGATGGATGTATTATTCCTGACAAGTAAACACTTTGTGTTTTCCTATGTTTGCTTATTAGAAAAATAATTTTGTAATATTTTACATAGGCTTATGTCATTTAAAAATATTTTATGTTATGAATAAATGCATGCATGTGCTTGCATGTATGTAAGTGTACCTGTGTCATGCAGTGACATGGAGGTCAGAAGAGGGCATCAGATCCCCTGGAACCATCCCTGAATGGTTGCTAGCTGCCATGTGGGTACTGGGACTCTAACCCAGGTCTTCTGCAAGAGCAACCAGTGCTCTTACCTGCAGAACCATCTCTCCAGCACCTTATGTCATTTTTAATCAGTGCTGAGAAACTTCTCTGTATTCTGTAAGCACAGAATTTAGCTCAAGAGTTAGCTAGGTGATGAGCCGCACAGAAGTTCAAACTGCTCCTTTTACTCCGTTGCTGCCTGAGAAAGTTAAGTGAAATTTATAGTTGAAGCTGTTTTTGTATTTTAGGTTATCACAAACTGCTGACTAAGAGTGTGACTGAGACCCCAGTCCACAAGCAAGTCTCCAAGAGGCTGCTCCATAGACAAATCAAGGGCAGGTGAGTGACAGCCTCATCCAGATTCCTTCATCACCATCTTATGGGCAACTCTTTGCTTTCCTTGACCTTCTTGATTAAATCTTTAATCCTATTGCTTATTGTAGTGCCTAATAGAACAATATAGACTGTACTCCTGGTCTCTTTAGTTGGCATGATTATTTTGAGATTTATATATGTTGCTTCTATCAGATCATCCTGTTATTGTTGAATAGTGTTCCACTTAACAAATATTCTGCATTCACCTGTTGACATGAGAAAAGGTAGGTTCTTTTTCCTACCAGACAAGGCTGGAAGTCTGACTTGGACTTTGCTGATGGAGGTATGGGCTAGGGCTGTGGTTTTTCTGTAGTAACTACTTGGACTGGGGTAATTACTGCCTGAAAGGGTACCATCTTGTCCCTTTCCTGGTTCTTTGGCGCTAGAGAGCTGTCTCCTAGGAATAAGTTTTGTCTGCACCTCTTGGCATATCTGTTTTGTCAGCTTCTCTAGCACCCAGTCTAAGACAGAAGCAACAAAAAGAAAATCCAGGGAACTCACTGCTCCTCTTTCTTCAGGCAGGTGGACTGCCTTTCCACCTTTCAGAGTCATCTTCTGAATGTGTAGAAGATTTTTATCTGTGCTTTCAAGAATATGGGAAATGCACTTACTCCATATGGCCATTGTCTGTATACAGACTTTACACACTTGTGAAAGCTAGAGGGTAAAGAGAAGTGAGAATGGTAGGTCACAAGTCCTTGACAAACTAGTAGAAATCAAAGCTCTTAAAAAGAAACTTGAACATTGCTACTTATTGCTGTAACCAGATGATATTTAGCTATAATTTTTAATACATTAAAGTAGTCCTCTATTTTAAAGCTAATTTTGATGTTGCAAAAATACTTGGCACCAAAAAAAAAAAAATTCTAACCACTTCACTCAATAATAATTATATTTGGGGCTGGGAGCATAGCTTAGTGGTAGTTTATGTATTCAGCAAATGCAAGACCCTTGGTTCAATCCCTAGCACACACAAAAGCAATGATAATTATGAAGGAGAAAGCTTTCAAACCCTACTATTGTCAAGCCCTGTGACCTTTGTTACCATATTAGTTGAGAAGCTTTCTCTGTCTTTAATGTGTTTTTATTGTTATTGTATTTTCCATGCTGTTTATCTGTTTATTTATTTGTGTGTGTATGTGTGTGTATACATCATTGAGTGCATATGGAGGTTAGAAGACAACTTCCAGGACTTGGTTCTCTCCTTCCACCATGTGGGTCCTGGGGATAGAACTCGGGTCATCAGGCTTGGCAGCAAGCACCTTTACTTACTGAGCCAGCTTGCCAGCCCTTATCTTTAATGTGTTAATTACAAGTGCTATTGAATCCTTTGGCTGGGTTGCTCTTCAAGGTCCTCTGATCCTGGTCCTGATATTCGTGTTGTTGAAGAGTCTCCTGAAAAAGAGGATGGTGAGTGTTACCTACTTTTGCATTCCACCTAGTTTCTACAAAAGCCTTTCTGTACTTGTTACTTGACATGCCCTCAGATAGTTTACAAAAATCAGGATGGCTCTGGGTCTAGCATAGCTCAATATTTATATGTGAATGTTGCTTTACACGGAATGTATTGAGAGGATTTCTGGAGAAGAAACATTTTTACATACTAGAAATGGGATTTAGTGTGAGGATTCAACTTCCATGTTATACAAAGCACTGTAGCTTATTTTTTATTTTTTATTTTTTATGTGCATGTGTGTATTGTGTGCATGTGGGTAAGTGCTCCCATGTCGTGCAATACCCACAGAGGTCAGAAGAGGCTGTCAGATCCCCTGGGACTGGAGTTATGGACAGTTGTTAGCTGCCATGTGGGTGCTGGGATTCTTTCAAAATTGGATGTAAATTTTGAGCTTTACAGTTGAATTAATACAGTTATACAATATTGTACTCCGTATAAACCCTATAAGACATAAAATTAAATGAGGTTTTAACCTTTAAAAAAGATCTCCATTTCATTATTAAAATACACAGTTTCATACAGAAAAATTCATTTTTAATGCAATTAACACTGAGATGTTTGCACATGCGTTTCTAATCACTATATATCCGATTATTACTAGTAAAGAAGATCACCATTTCATTTTTTTTTAAGAGGGTTTTTTTTTTGGTCTTTTTGAGACAAGGTCTCCCTGAGCCCCAGCTGGCCTGGAACTCACTATGTAGACCAGGCTGGCCTCCAACTCACAGAGATCAGCCTGCCTCTGCCTCCTGAGTGCTGGGATTAAAGGCGTGTGCCACCACGCCCGGC